ACTGTACAGGACAGGTGCTGTTCTCCCCATTTTACAAAGCAGGAAATTGAAGCTCTGAAAGGGTAATTGAATAGGCCCACAAGGACACAGTTGGTAAAGGAAGGGCTTGAAATTTGAACCCACTCTATTACAAATTCTGCATGCAAAAGTTGAACTGTGATACTTATGAGATGTGTTTTTTGATAAAACACAAACCCCACTAAATGTACCCATGCAAGATGGAGGAAATATCATGCCTTGTCAACGTGTGTGAAAAATGGGCATTATTACTTTATAACTATTTTAAGTCCTACTAACTAGTGTTCTACCCTGCCATGACCAGGCCACTCCTGGGGCACTGAGTTTAATACTCAGGGCATTCAGGAGACCAATCCATTCACCGATCACCTTGGCTGCTTTTGCACCAAAATAGCAGAGTGGAGTAGTTGCAACAGAGCTGAAAATATTTACTATCTATCTGGTTCTTTACAGAAAATGTTTTCTGAGCCCTGATCCGAACCAATGTTTTCTAAACCTTGATTATACTCCTACCTCCTTAATTTTTTGTGTATGGCATCTTTGAAGTCCATTTACACTACTATTTACTTTGTAATTTTTTAAGTCAGTGTGGTACTTTTAAAAAAACTTAAACACTATTGTAACCTCATCCTAAGCAAATGCTATCTTTGTAATAACAGGTTTTATATGTAAATCATATAGGTTTATAACATGTTAAGATATATTTTTATATTTGTAATACATATATTTTCAATATTGATATATGCATAAGTGCATATAATATTCAATAAAATATTAAAACTAATAAAAGGTTGTCCTAAACTCATTTTCTGTACCACCAATGATGCAGGTATCCCATTTTGGTTAAATGTTGGTCTAGCGCAGGCTTTTTCAACACAGGCATGACTGACATTTTGGGCCAGAAAATTCATTGCTTTGAGAGTTGTCCTGTGCATTGTAGTATACTCAGCAGTACCCCTGGCCTCCACCCACCGGATACCAGCGGCACTTCCTCCAACTGTGACAGCCAAAACAATCTTCAGACATTGCCAAATGTCCTCTGGGGGACGAAAATCATCTCAGATTAGGAGGCACTGGCCTAGAGCATCCACAGTGGCTTTGCTGCTTGCTGCATTCTCAGCACTATACCATGTGAGTCTCCTCAAAAGCCACTTAGGTATTATCAGGAATCTGCAGCATTCGCTGAATGATGAAGAACTGTCCAGATCCTCTCACGTGAGTTCCTGACTTGTCAGGTCTGAGGCTGGCACTCTGGGGGCTGTACCAAGACGCTGATGCTCTTGGGGTTCTACTTACTCAGCTACTTGCACGCCTGCTTTCAGTTCCTGAGCTGTTACCTCATGAATGCAAGAGCTCCAAGCTGATGCTTGAGTGAAACAGGTTTTCTCATTCTGTTGCCCAGATCAGTGATTTACTGAATGACACTCAGTGGCCTGAGAGTCACATCTTCCAGAGTACCTATCAACCTCCCTGAGGAATTGCTGACTCACGTAATAAGATCTATTCTAGACCATTCACATCAAAATTCTTTGGCATTAAGCATTTAGTTGGCTTCAGATTCAAATGGACTTCATTGCATATGGGTTGTTTTCACCCTCCCTCTTCCTAAGGGCTAGCTAGCTTCTAAAACCACAGGTAAACGTGAAGAATCTCATCCTAACCTCCGAGATGGAGCCTTTGTTCATTCTTTTTTTTTTTTTGAGACAGAGTCTCACTCTCACCCAGGCTGGAGTGCAGTGGCGCGATCTTGGCTCACTGCAACCTCTGCCTCCTGAGTTCAAGCAGTTCTCTGCCTCAGCCTCCCAAGTAGCTGGGATTACAGGTGCCCACCATCAAGCCCAGCTAATTATTGTATTTTTAGTAGAGGCAGGGTTTCACCATCTTGGCCAGGCTGGTCTTGAATTCCCGACCTCGTGATCCACCTGCCTTGGCCTCCCAAAGTGCTGGGATTACAGGCATGAGCCACTGGGCCCGGCCAACTTTGTTCATTCTAACTGGATTATTGCAGATGATACCAGAAGTTAACATTTCTAAATGCTCACACTGTCCCATGTGTTGATTTACTTGAGCTTCACAAGGATCCTAAAAGATAGGTACTATTGTGATCTTCCCATTTTAGACGGGAAAACACAAAGGCACGTGGCCAAGGTCACACAATCAGAGGGATGCAGACATGGAATTCAGGCTGTCAGACTATAGGACCTGATCTACTGTTGTCACTATACTACTGCCTATGTAGAGGCAGTGGTCCCCCAGTGGCTCCAAACCTTACTCTCCTTCCAGAACCTCCCCCTCCGCATCCACCCAGTCCACCCTCTATTCTGCTGTCAAACCGGTCTGATCATGTAATTCTCCTAATCAAAAGAGTCAGGAAAGGCCTCACTGTAAACTGGGTCAACGCCACCCTCTATAGCATGGACTAAGAGGTGCTTCACGATCTGACCCCCCAACTCCTTTCAATCTCATTTGTTATAATTCTTTACTGTCTCCCCAGTGTTCCAGCCACATCAGACCACGTGCCACTGCCCAAGTACACTGTGGACTTTCTTGCTTCCTCCCTCTGCTCCTGCAGTTGCTCCACCCCAGAACTCACCCTTCAGGTTTTGGCCTAGAAAGAGTATCCTGCCTATCCTTCAGGGATGGCTCAAATCTCATTTCATTTGAGCATCCTTTTCTGATTTTTAAAAATGGAAATCAGTCCCTTCTCTGCACATCCATAGCCTCTGTTCCCAGCTTTGTTACAGCATCTGCCACATTAGGTTATAATTACAGGCTAAGCATTTACCCCCACCCCCATTAACTGCGAGCCTCTCCAAGACAGAGGCTGATGATCTTCCTGCCTCAACCTCATCATGGCACGTGTGTTTGGAACTGATGGATAAGTTGATCAAATATTTGAATTGAAGTCACACGCAATCAGAGTACATCACATGACATTTCCAATTACTTAATTTGCTAAAATTAGGATCCCTGACCCTTAGATAGAGTCTTGCTGTTGTAGGGAAATTCTCTTTGTGAAAGGAGCATTAGGATTTTGGGAATAGTGCTCTAGAGTTCTTTTGCCTAAGAAGACAACTCGAGGAGCAAAGGCACAGAGATCTATGCAAGCAAGAGCACGTTGGTATGGTGTGGCCTTCATTCCAGGACTGTGTGTCCACAGAAGAGGTAACAGAGAGAGCTTATGGTATTCCAGTTTCCAATTCTATACTCACAGGCCCTCAGCCCACTTCAATTCAGACTGTCCAAAGTTAGGCTGCTTTGTAAGGTGACGTCATTGAGCTTGATATGATCTATATGGTTTCTTCTTATACTAACATCCTATAATGAATTTAAACAAAGACCAAAGGCCTTAAATTATTTTCCAGGGGAAAAACAGATGAATTTCTGCTCCCTGTCATCTAGGTAGCACTCAATAACGTCATTTTCTTGACAAACATAAGAGGGATGAACATGCAGAAACTAAAGAGCATTCCATGATGTTCACAGGATGTTGGACAGATGCACCATTTCAGAATATTCCCACACAATGTCTTACAGATACCAGCGGGTTCCACAGCTCAGGATGAAGGAGCAGGGGCATCTTTCAAAACAACCACACGGCAACCACAGATGGTCCTTTAGTGTCCCATGAAAGTGTGTTGTAAATGTTCATCATCTCATTTAATCGCCACAAAAACTTGCAGAGTTAAGAAGGGTATTGTTATTATCTTGATTTGCATGAATGGGCACATGAAGTCTCTGAGAACACAAGTGATCTCTCGGTGGTGATCACAGCAGGATGTGAACTCAGGTCTTCCCACCCAGGCCCTGTGTTCTTTCCATGAACCACGTTGCCTTCTCCTGGAGAATCAGCAAAGCCCATCATTTTTTCCATAGATGTATATGCTGACTATGAAATGCAATTTATACTGCAAATTTTAAAAACCATGGAATATAATATTTTTATAACAAAAAGCAAGGATAACAGATGTTCACACAATCCAGCTACTCTCTCGCTATGAATTTTGCTGTGAAGAGTCCCATGATGAGGGCTATTGTGGAACACGTAGGGAGGGGGTTTGAATTCTAGACTTGGGGATACAAGTTTTGTGTAAGTAGCACACGGCTGAGGGTGAGTAGGTGTGCAGAAAGAATAGGCGACAAGAGGGAGGACAGAATAATTACCAGGCTGGATAATCCAGCCTTGCACAATGGAGCGCTGGTGATGAAAAGGGGCATGCGGTGGGTTTCGTGTCTATTGTGGCCACTTTAATGACACATCTCCTGGAGGATAGAGAGGCATCACCACCACACTCCTCCCAGGACCCTGCATGATGGTTCTTCAGTGCCCTGTCCCCGCCTGACATCATATTACATATTCATAGGCTTATTACCTGTTGCTCCCACTAATGAGTAAGCTCACAAGGATGAGGACGTTGTTTCGTCCTTATTTTCCCCTAGAGGATGGAACAGCTTAAATGAACAGAAAAGAATGAACAGAAGTATCCCTAAAACAGAAGGCTTGCTATTTGCACAACACTGAAAAGAGATGTATTTGGAAAACTTGAGAGGAAAATGGCAGTCCCGAATCGATAAAAGGCACACATTTAAAACTGCCTTCCTCTCATCACATCTACAGGACACCTTAGGGAGGTGAAAAGCTGTACTCTCTTCACCTGGTCTTGTTCACACCAAGAATGACCTTTACCAAGACTTCTTCTTGGAACACTCAACTCTTCTCTTTGACTCTGTTAAACTAAGTAGGAGATGCACAGGTTGAGAGCCCAGGCAGATAACCATTTCTGTCTCCCTTCCCTTTTTCTACCACTTCTTTTCTTTTCTTTTCTTTTCTTTTCCTTTTTAATAGCTCATTGCAGCCTTGGACCTTTGGGCTCAAGCAATCCTCCTGCCTCAGTCTCCTGAGTAGCTGGGACTAACAGGTGCATGTCACCGCACCTGGCTAATTTTTTGATTTTTTTTTGTAGAGATGGGGTCTCGCTATGTTGCCCAGACTGGTCTCAAACTCCTGGGCTCCCGAAGTTGTTAGGATTACAGGAGTGAGCCACCGTGCCTGGACTTTTCCTACCATTTCAATGGCTGAATGTTTTTAAGGGTTCTCTAGACTTCAAAAATGAAGAGACTGACTTACCTTTCATGTTCATTACTGGATAAGGGTAAAGCACAGACCTTACTTTCAGTCATTCATACAGGAATGAATGCCAAGACATCTACCGTGAGTCCAGGTCATTATAAGAGTCACTCCCTTTTCAAGGGAGATTTGTAATAATCACTTTATCTCCATTCCATGGTACAGGCTGATGAGTAGGAAATCACTGTGACCCATCCATGGGAGGAGAATTACTGGCTGGCAAACACCTTTGAAACTGTTGTAGGGAATCAAGTGCAGGTCATAAAATTGAAAATCATTGTCTCTTTTAAATCCTTAATCTTTCTCTAAAGTAGGTGGGATCCATTTCACTATCATTTCTAAAGAAAAACATGTAATAAAGGGAATATTGCTTTCTGGTATCTGATTTTAAATGCATCCATTGTTTAAAAAAAAAGACATTAATCTCCTCAAAGGACAGAGAAAATTTATAATCTACAAATATGACACTGAAAACCAAATTAAACTTCAACAGGAACAGCTTTTGTAATTTAGTCTGCACGAGTTAGGAAGTGAGTTTTCAGAGGAGAGAGAGAACAATCAGCCACTTTCCTCCTGGAGACCAAAAATGTGTGAGAAATTATGCTGCAAATTGCAGTGCCTGAGGCTGAAAAATAGCAGAAATAACCACTGTAGCCCAAGAAAATAGTTAATCAGCTTCTTTTTAGGAAAGCAGGCATACATTGTGTGGTTTATCATGGCCTAGGATTGGCCTTCTAAGATAAGACATGTAACATTAAAGCTTTTGTTTTTTGTTGAACTTTAGTCAGCAAGAAACTATGGTGTTCTATATATAGACGAGGGCACTGAGCCTTCCTGAATAGAAAACGTATTTTGAGTTTTTTTTTTTCCAACAGTGGTAATGGATTTAAATTAATTTGTTCACAGCCTCTGTCCTTTCAGGGACCAATGAATGACCCACATTTCTGAAATACTGTCTGGGATTGGGATGTGATGAACAAAACCATAAGACACACAGAGTCTGACCAACAGCCCATCCCTCCCAGCATTCTCTATTTCTGATGGAGAAACCGGCGGTGGCTTTTCTATTTGACTTTGTCCCTAGACGCTGGTGGGTGTTCTAGCATGCTTGGTTGAGCATGGGTACTAAAAAGGCAGGACACAGAGTCAGCAGGACTGCGCAAGTCCCAGTTGGACCATTCGCTAACCTAGTCTCTTGGTCTTTGGCTCCTCATCAGTTAAATGGAGAAACCTAGGTGCCCACCTCACAGGCAATTGCGAAATTAGAAGGCAATGCTGGTGCAGTGTGCTTCCTGGACATCAACGCTGAGAGCTGCTGTTTTAACTAGGAGTGCATGTCAACACCAACAATTTATCATAAATTAGTCATTATAGATATTACCCGCTAATTTATTAAAATATTTCCTTTAGTATTTTAATAGTTTTGATTCACAAAACTTTCTGGACAACGGTTTCTAAGATCAAATAATCAATATTTGTGCACTGGAAAAGGGCAGGATTTCTATTGAAGGAAACAAACAAACAAAAAAATCAAAAGCAGATTCACTTTCTTTTGAAAACACACTTCCTTTTTTGTTTTCATCTTCTTAGCCTTAAAAAGGTGTTAATGGTTTGTACGGTCTCATTTTAACTTTCCTTAAACAATTAACTTAGGAAATTGGTTAGACAGTTTCCTTGCCAACCTTATAGGGAAGGACAGGTCTTGCTCATAATGACATTACTTTGCACTAAAACCACATCTGTACCTTGGAATAGCAGTTAAATCTGAAAAACAACATGTACGTGTAGCCAATTAAAGATGATAAATATAGGCTTTAAAAGCAAATAACTGACCTAAAGTAAGAGATTGACAGTGCTGGCTTCCAAGGGGCAAGGACAAATGTCTAACTGGAATTGTGTGAGATGTTGAAGAGATGATCATCACTATAAGAAGAGAATCTTTCCCTGGAAACATATTTCATTTAACAATGTAGGCCATTTGTTATGTCATGAAGAAACACGGAACTTCACAGCAACACTACTTCACAAGCAAATAACACCTAGGTATTCAGAGTTTCATTCTTGCTGAGGCACTGATTCACATCTGTGTATTATCAGGGAACACCCTAATTAGCAGGTGAAACATTACAGACACAAGCCAATACAATAATTATGTTAGACTGTTAAGGCTAAAAGAAACCCTAGGGATCATCTAGTTTAGCAGCCAGAATTATTCTTTAGAATTTCCTGTGACCTTTGAGGCAACATGAAGAAAAGTAATTGTCACCATGAAATGTATTTATCCAAGGATTATAAATTGTATTACACTCTTTGAAAGGCCTAAAAATAATCATGGGATAATAGAATTCTAGAGCTTGGAGGGATTTCGGGGTCTACTGATTTCAATTTCTTCTGTCTAATGTAAAAACGATTCCTTTTTCAATATTCTTGACAATCTCCAGCTAATATGTAAATGCAAAAAGGGGAAATTATAAGAAATAATAAACTATTTGTATGAACTTATCAATGTCATTATGTTAAAGGAAAGATTGCTTTGTCATTCTGTGCCTATTACAATGCTTGGCATGCAGTGATCAATGGGTGTTGCTAAGAGTTCAAGACGATTCTGGAACTTTCCTGCATCTAGTTGACCATCCAGATTGGACTGGCTTATCCATGCTAACACAGATGTACATCAAATATGCCAGCAGAGGTAAAGCCATTCTATTTCTCCAAAATTTCACATGAGAGTTAACCTACTTCAATATATCTAATCTGCAGTTACAGAGTTGAATATGTCCTTAGCAGCTGATCCCACCTGTATGTTTTTTCTCTACATAAATACATGAGTAAACCATTTGGGACTCCTGTTGGCCTGATTTTTCTTAAAAATCTTCAGTGTCCTCTCTGTTGGTTCTTCCTTATATCTGATTACAATGTTATGTCATCAATCTTATTCTCTATGCTATGTCTTCTAAAAACCTGGAGAATAAATGCCAACTTCCTTTTCTTATTAAAAACCTCATTCACTATCTGGAGATAGTATATCACCCCTTCCTCTAATCTGCCTATATGTTCTCTCATTCCCTTTCTCCTCTCCATCTGGTTATTCCTTTCTTTTAGCTTTTAGTTTAAATGCAGTTCTTCAGAGAAGACAACTCCGAATTTCATAGACCAGTTGACATTCCTGTTGTCCATTCTTCTCCTTCCCTGTACTCTCACGGGTACTGATCTGCCCAGTCTATACTCCCAGCAGGTTCTAAGCTGCACTGAGGGTATCTTCTGTATTTTATTCACTGTTACATCCCCAGTGCCAAGCACGGAGCCTGGTCTAGAAAATGCACTGAGCAAAGAATTGGTGGATCTTCTGTTTGCTAAGCAAACACAGGTACCATCCTTTCTTTTCGCAGGGCCTGTTTTCATTCAAGATTTACAAGTCAGTAATTGCCTGAATTTTTTTCCTAGCAAATATCAGAGCTTTCTTCATCTAGCTGCTCAGGGACTTTGGACAGGAAGAGGTAGATAAAGAATGAATTTATTAGAAACGTATTTACTTTTTCATTTATAAGGCCCATAGGTGGCAATTTCCATCAGAACCAAATGTATGATACTTAAAATTTTCCTAAACTAAAACTCACTGGGTGTAAATAAGGCATCATTAAAAATATCTACTGATATTCTGCATCAGTTGATAGCATGCATGAATGATACTAGTAGCAAAAACTCATTCATATTTTGCCTTTTTAGATCAAACTCAGAGATTTCAATTATTCTTCCCATGTGAACTCACCTGGTCTACCAACACACTCCTTCCTCTAATCCGTCTAGGATGTACCAGCATTGCCTTTCTCCTCCTTACATGATTGCTCCTATTTTTGAGGTCTCAGCATAAAATGCTGGAAGTTAACTTTCAGGTTTAGTTTGAGGACACCGGATAGAGCTGGACTATCAAATACGATTCCCTACACCTTAGCAATCTTAGCATCCCTACCTTAGCTGAGGATGATAACCTCTCTCCCATTTTATCATTCATTAAGGATTTGCTCCAAGAGAATTAATAAGAAGGGAAAATGTACTTCAATGATGACTTAGGTTCATAATCAAAATTATAGTATCTGGAGCTCTAGTTTGATATTACCAGACATGACAAGCAAAGACCTAGGTTTAACTTGAAGGGAGGAACTTTGTATGTTGCTTCTAACATCAAACACAACACAACAGGAATGGCCCAACTGGGGAAGCAGGAGTGGATCCACACAAAAGCCTGTTTCTTTTCTTCCTTTGTTTTTTTTCAGGGGAAAGCACGAACACAGTCCCCCACTACCACAAATTATGCAGTCAAGTTTCCCACATTTGGGAAAGTCACAGGGGTCAGCACATACAGAGTGCAATGAATAAGCCTGCCTGGGAAAACGACCTTTGTGATCATGTATCTCCACTGCCAGATAAGTATGCAAAAGCCTGTTTCTATAATTGAGACAGTTTATAACAAAACATTGATCGTAATAGTAAGATATTTTTCTATTTCAAAGATTAGAGTAACTTTGAATGAAACCCACTCCACAAATAGTTTCACAATACTTCCTACATGAGAGGTACTATGGCAGATTAAGGGTCGAGAGCCATTGTGGCCCATTTGTGCTGCTATAATAAAATACCCGAGACTGGGTAATTTAAAAAGAACAGAAATGTGTTTCCTCACAGTTCTGGGGGCTGGAAAGTCCAAGATCAAGGCGCTGACAGGTTTGGCTGTCTGGTGAGGGTTGCATCCTCCGGCTGGGAGAAATGCAACATCCTCCCATGGTGGAAGGCCAAGAGAGCTTTATGCTGCTGTTTGAAGTCCCTTTCACAAGGGTCTTAATGTCATTCACGAGGGAGGAGCCCTCATGGCCTAATCATCTCTTAAAGGCCCCACTCATTAATACTATCACATTGGCCATTAAGTTTCAACTCCTGAATTTTGGAAGAGAGATACTCAAACCATACCATATGGGCAGACAAGGATGGTTCTTGTCCACATTAAAGAGAGAATATCTAGAGAAACACATAACCTGATGCAAGCATGCAAAAGGGGTGTGTGCAGGAGGGCAAAGCTCTGTATAGGAATCTGAGAAGGGATCACAGAGGACCTGGTATTTTAATAATGTCTTGAAGAACAAGAATTTTTCTTTGTGAAAGAAGCTGCTGTGGGTAGTAGAGGATGGGATGGAAGAGAATGCATTCCAAACAGAGGGAATAGTTCAAATTGTTAGAATAAAGAAAATATAAAAGGTTAAAGACCACTAATACTGCTTAATATTTATATAACATATGCCTTGTGAGAACTCAATCCATCGATAGGAAACAGATTAATAAGCGAAAGAATATCACTGTAGCTATGAGAGGCTCTCCATTCATTCAGTTATTTTTTCACTCACTCACTCACTCACTCACTCACTCACTCAAACCTATAAGCCAGGCCCTGTTGTAGGCACTCTGGATACGGCCATGAACAAAACAGTTCCTGCCCTTGTGGACTGTATGTTCTATTAGGTGAGAAGAGCAACAAACTGAACGAAAGGTAAATGACACAAAATATTAGATGGTGAAAAATGCTTTGATAAGAATACAAGGAGCTGGGGAACAGGCCGGGTTGCAAGGACAGTTGCCATTTTGAACAGGAAGGGCCTCGTTGAGTACGTGACATTTGAGTAGAGACCCGGGGCAGGTGAGTGTAGGAGCCCTGAGGATATCTGAGGGAAGGGCAATCCATCCAGGGGAACAGACAGTGCCAAGGCCCCATCAGAAGGCATCTAGCATGTCCAAGAATGTGCGAGAATAGCGGGAAGGTTGCTGTGTGAGGGAGGAGGGAGCAACACAGAGGGGAGCCGATGAAGCGAGGGAGACCACAGGGGCAGTCCATTAATACTCAGGTTTCAACCCCTGAATTTTGGAGGAGAGATGCTCAAACCATAGCAGGTGAGGAGACAAGGACGGTTCCTGTCCACATTAAACAAAGAATATAGAGAGAAACACATAACCCAATGCAAGGGTGCAACAGGGGTGTGTGCAGGAGGGCAGAGCTCTGTACCAGAGTCTGAGAAGGGGTCACAGAGGACCTGGAATTTTACTAATGTCTTGAAGAGTAAGTAGATTTTTCTTTGCAAAAGAACTGGGAGTGGGAGTGGGCTTCTGGGTCACGGGGAGGATTTCGCTTTTTACTCTTAGCGAGCTGGATGGTAACAGGAGTATTTTGGGCACAGCCATTGTTAAGAGCTGAGCTGTGTCCCCAGATAAATTCGTACGTTGAAGTCCTAAGTCCCAGTGCCTCAGAATGTGACTGTATTTGGAAGCAGGGTCTTTAAGGAGGTGAGGGAGTTACAATGATGTCACTGGTGTGGGCCCTAATCCACCATCACTGGTGTCCTTATAAGCAGAGATGAGGAACAGCCACACACAGAGGGAAGACCACGTGAGGACAGAGAGAGGAGACATCACCTCTACAAGCCAAGGAGAGAGGCCCCGAAGAAAAAAACCCTACTGACACCTTGATCTCAGACTTCGAGCCTCCAGAACTGAAAGACAATAAATTTCTGTCATCTAAGTCACCCATTCTGTGTGTGTGTGTGTGTGTGTGTTTTTTTTTTTTTTTTTTGAGATGGAGTCTTGCTCTGTCACCCAGGCTGGAGTGCAGTGGCGTGGCCTGGGCTCACTGCAAGCTCCGCCTCCCGGGTTCATGCCATTCTCCTGCCTCAGCCTCCCAAGTAGCTGGGACTACAGGTGCCTGCCACTATGCCTGGCTCATTTTTTATATTTTTAGTAGAGACGGAGTTTCACCGTGTTAGCCAGGATGGTCTCGATCTCCTGACGTCATGATCCGCCCGCCTCGGCCTCCCAAAGTGCTGGGATTACAGGCGTGAGCCACCATGCCCGGCCGTGTGTGGTTTTTTTGTAATGGCAGTCCTAGCTGACAAAGACAGTCACTATCTGACTTTCTCAAACCCTGTCTCCTGGGCTGCTGTGGTGGGGACAGGCTGCAGAGCAGATGTGGACACAGAAGAACAGGTGGGGGAAACTGCAGCAAGCCAGGCAAGGCCAACTGAGGTTCAGGCCGGGGAAGCAGGAGCACGTGGAAGTGTTGATCTTATCCCTGTGTGTGTACAGTGTGGACCAGATAGGATTTGCAGATGGTTAGATGTGGGGGACCAGAGAAAGGAAAGGGTCAAGGGTGACTCCAGGTTTTTGGCATGAGCGACTGAGAGTATGAAGTTGCCTCTAATTGAGAAGGGAAAGACTTCTTTAAAGTGCAGTCCATTAAGAATCTTCCTAAAATTCTTTCAGGGTCAACATGGGTCCACATTCCCCCTTCATTTTACTAATAGGAGACTAGAACACACAGAACAGAGCAGCCGAATTAAGATCAGAAAGAAAAGGAGTCCTGATTAGGACTTTACATCTGACTTCTAGGATCAATGCCAACTAGATCATGGAGCTTACTGCAGATATTTAAAAATAAAAACACTGCATCATCTTTGAAATGATAACAAAGGCATAAAAATGATACAATGGACGCTGGGGACTCAGGGGGAAGGGTGCGAGGCAGGTGAGGGATAAAAGACTACACATTGGGTACAGTGTACACTTCTCAGACGACGGGTGCACCCAAACCTCAGAAATCACCACTAAAGAACTTATCCATGTAACCAAACACTACCTGTTCCCCAAAAACTATTGAAATAAAAATAAAAATAAACAAATAAAAGGTCTTTCCACAACGGGGTCACTAAATAACCATGAATTCAACTCTTTAATGACTTTAAGAAAAGCTTGTTTCTTAAAAACAAGAGTAAAGGCTAGCAAAGATTTAAGTACAAAAATGGGAAAAAATGCAGTGTTATTTATTAGAATGGAAAGTTGAGGGGAAATCTAAACGCCAAAAAAAAAAAAAAATTTGAAACGATAAAACATCACCTTCAAAAAGATGTGGCTCACCACAAAAAGTGTGAGGGGAATGAAGATAATCTAATTTGAGGAAACTTACCCAAACAAACAAAAATCTCCAACAAGTTTGGATCAAAACCATTCTAGCGTCACTGAAGACAAATTTTCCATGCCGGCTAATGTTCAACACCATTTGTTAGCTGCTTACTGTGTGACATGCAATAACCTCACTGATTGGATTCATTAAATAATCTGATCCTCACAAATGACCCTAATGAGGCTGCTGGCATTATGATTATCTTTATTTTACAGACAAGGAATGAAAATCAAAAAGAGGTTGAGCTACACGCTTTGGGTCACACAGCTAATACGTGGTGTGTCTAAGATTCAAACTCTGGCAGTTAATTCTGGAACCCACATACTTGGTCCTAAAGTAGGGGTGGGTGATGTCACCAGCTTGGCCCCCACTGCCTAGGGCAGCCCTGTGATTCTGAATAAATATGACCCTTTAAATTTGCTTCAGGTGAACTCTAGCTCCTTCCCCCAAATTTTGTGAGGCAAAGCTGTAAATAAACACACCATTGTTTAGTGCCATCAAGCAGGCTTAGGCAGGGTAATGTCTAAGAACTTCTCTGCAGGTGTGTGCCATGGCTTACACCTGTAATGCCAGAACTTTGGAAGGCTGAGGCAGGAGGATCACTTTAGACCATGAGTTTGATGCCAGCCTGGGCAACATGACAAAACTCCATCTCTACACAAAATATAATAAAAAATAATTAACTGGGCGTGGTGGCATGCGCCTGTGGTCCCAGTTACTCAGGAGGCTGAGGTGGGAGAATTGCTTGAGCCTGGAAGGTTGAGACTGCAGAGAGCCACGATCATGCCACTGCACTACGGCCTGGGTGCCAGAGTGAGATACTGTCTCAAAAATAAAAAATATAAATGAAACAATATCTTCTCCATATAAATCAGAGCAGATTTGGTATAATCTCAGGGGAACATAAACAAGATGGCATAAGATCTAGAGAAGTCCTTAGATGAAGGGAGTGGTAGCTATCTTCAAAGATTTAAAAATCTTTTACAGGAAAGGAAGATTAGAAGTAAGATCAGGAAGGGGCAGATACAAATTTCAATAAGTAAAACTTTTAATAGAGAGGGGACTTTGTACAGACCTTCTTGACAATGGAGCAGGCTATGTTGGGAGCTGGGGAAGGTCCTGTTGGAGAAGAGACCAGGGGATAAATGGTCAGGAACACTGCTGTGGGCAGTGACCTGGATGGTCTTCAAGGCCCCCTTCAGTGATAAGAGGACTTGTGCAAATGTACAGTCCAGTGTCAGGCATTGATGCTGTTTAATTCACCATTCAACTTTTTACATTACCTATAACTTTTTCATCAGGATTGGACTGTAAGTCTGGACCAATGACCTATGGTGACATTCTCTGAGATTTCAGGGGGCAGCAATGGCACAAACGGGGGTTGGTCCAAGGAACTCTGAAGGCAGGATGTCTGAGTGTTTGGTAATGCCTCTCCCTTCTTGCAGAGTTTTTTTGGGGTCACTGGAAATTGCCAGGAGGATAGAGAAATGATTCTTCCTTTCTGTATAAAACTTGGTTAGAACAAGAATGAAATCATGTTGACAGGCAACAGGGAGAATTTTTAGGTAGTAAAAATCAGGGGGAAATTACCCAGGACAGCTAGTGATTCCCTCCCCACACTGAAAAGTGTGGCCTGTGACCTTGGCCTACTCTCAGACTCTTCCTGGAGATGATTGGGGACACTCAGAAAAATCTCTCCAATCTTTGTTTGGGAGGAGGGCCACTCTTTCTCTGGGGTGGCGATCTTGTCAAACTGATGCATGCATGAATCTCTGCATCCTGGTTGATCTGTTAGGACAACCGTATGCTTTGACCTCTAGTGGGAAGTGAAGGAGATGGAAGGAGGAAATGAATCTGGGTTGGGACAAAGCACAGAGACTGCCTTGGCTCTGCAGCTGAGATCATGCTGCATATCCAGCCCCCCACAAAATTCCCATATCCCACTAGATCTACCCATTGGTCTAAATTAAACTGAAATATCCCACAAATACCCACAGGTATTACAAAACTTGTCAGTTAGCATCTTTAACTAAACCTTTTAATATGGTGTTTGTTTTAAGTGGAAGCATATTTAGCAATATCTTATTAATATACTATCTAAGTATCTTTTCTGATGATTGAAACTCATGAGTGATATGAAAACTTACTGGGTGCATGTAGACATGGGGTTGGGGGCGGCGGCAATGACATTGGCTGCTACTTGTCCTTAGGAAGCAGCTGTGTGTTAATACAAAGAGCTCTGGACTTGGAGAGGCCCAGGCTGGAGGCTTGGCCTCTCAACTTACTACCTAGGTTAGTGTTTTCCAAATGTCTACAGGGAAGAAACAGTTCTTACTGTTTAGTTCTTTCAATTTTCAATCCATCACAAACTGATGCTTTTGTAAAATATAACACAAATATAAAAATAATGAAGCCCTTTATAATGACAAGATTCAAAAGACATGAAATTATTCTGTCATATTGCTATAAGAGTATGTAAAAGCTTGTTCTCAATGTCTGCACTTACATGGTTGCAGACATGAGATAAGCTATTTGTGGGCCACCCTTTGAGAAGGTGGCTTTGGGGAACTTAGTGAACCTCCCTTAGTTTCTCCATCTGCTCAGTTTCCGTAGGTGATGTGAGGATTAAATAAGATGACAATGACAGTGACAATAATGTGTATGTGTAATAGATTAAAAGGTGCCACCCACATTTTAAATTATTATTGTTCTAATTAATAAAACGAATAGTTGCAAATGATAGCAAGGGGCCAAATTAAATTTTGTGTTTTTCCTTTTGCAGCAAGGGCAGGTGTTAACAACAAGTAATCCAGTCAGAATTCCTAGACACGGCAACCTCCAGATGAATTGCTCCTTTCCCAAACGCAGAACACTCAGCTGACAGGCAGGAGTAGAGAAAGCTGCCCAGAGTCAGGAAAACACAACCTGAAGCTCCCGCCTGTGCATCTCACTTTTGGCTCTCTGGTGATTCGCTGGGACCTCCAGACTGCCATTTTCCATCCATAGGACCCAGTGGCCAGCAGCCACCACTCCAGGACAAGCATTCAGCTCCCAGTCAGACACATCCTTTGCACCTCATAGACACACTCTCTTTTTATCACACCAGGGCACTCAGTCAAGCACTGTGCCTCAGAGCCCCAGTGGGAAATCCCAGTCCCTTCTTGGATGAGAGGTAGGTGGCGGTATTTGAACACACACACATGATCATGCGTGCACACACGATCAAGAGTAATTGAGAACCAGTTTGAAAGATCTCCCTAGGTGGTGGTGAGTTAGGGTCGTGGCTGCAGGCCTGCCTGTGGGGTCATCTTTGCAACTCTCCCAGAAGAGCGATTGGAGGCAGATTCTGGTGAAAGAGGGAGCTGCCTTGATAATGGCCAAATATTAGTGGCACATGCGCATATAATCAGAGCCTGGGACTCTGCTTCCTCCATCAGC